AAGAAAATATCTTTATTTGCAATTGGTATTGAAACCGTGGCAAGCTGGAAAAAATTGTGTTGCACAAAAAGTTCTAGAACAGGAAATTTTAAGTGCACTTGATTTTGAGAATTTTAGTGCTGGAGATTAAAAAAAAATCATAAATTACCCGTTTCCTCCTCGGTGAGGAGAGCCTGCTGCCAGTACTCCTGGGCGCTGACTGTATACACCAGATCTGAGGCTTCCAGAACCTTGAAGTCAGCTGGCAGTTTTCTCTGAAGTGAAAGAGTCACACAGAAAACAGAATAACTCAAACCACAGCAAAGGCAATCATGCACAGGACCCACAAGAGCCTTCAACCAATTTCAGCTCACTCACTTTCAGTTCTCCATGGCCCCCTCTGGGAACAGACAATGTTCTCAAGGTCTGGTGTTGCCATCTGTCCAGTCCTAACAAGGTCAGAAGTTATGAGGGAACTGCTGCATAGAAACTATTGTCTTGGGAGTTAAATATCAATTCTAGAAGAAAATGTGTAGAGATAATAGTTCAAAGGTGTATTTAAACGTTCAGAGGGGTAATAATACCAGGATCCTTTCTCAAAAAAGAAGCACATGTCTGGAATGGGCAGTGGCGTGCTGCAGCCAGCTCGTACCAGTTCCTGAAAGCCAACAGCACACATCACTTTCCTACTCTGCATTCCGTGACGTCACACTGGTAGCTTGAAATTGACAATAGTGGGACTGTTTCAATCCTGAATCTCAAACTGATAACCCAAATCCGTAACCACATTGTGATCCCCAATTTTCAATCAAGTAATTTCAGCTGACATGTGACCATAGCTTATCAATACTAAGAGGCACATTGTTTCCCTGTTTAATATTTCTGAAATTGAGATGCATCTTGCAACTGCTGTAGGCCAGGTAGCAGTCACAAGGTGGTTGTCACTGCCTGCATGTTATGAGCTGAAATGTATCCCCCTCCAAAATTCACATGTTGAGGTCCTAATCTCCACTAACTCCTATTTACACCACAGGAATTGGCAAATGGTACACATCAGCCCTTTGTTTTTTTATCATTTGTTTGTTTTGGGGGATTTTTTTTTAAACAAAGAGCTAGTTGTTAAATATTTCCAAGTGCAACACAACACAAACCTGACTAAAGTCCTATAAAAGCAACAATTTCTTAGGTAGTGAGTGATCATACACATTTTAATGCAGACTAATGTTGAAACAAATTATGATGTTAAATGTCAAGCAATTGGCTGGGAGTGGTGGTTCACACCTGTAATCCTAGCACTTTGGGAGGCTGAGGTGGGCGGATCACAAGGTCAGGAGTTCGAGACCAGCCTGGCCAATAGGTGAAACCCCACCTCTACTAAAAAATACAAAAATTAGCCAGGTGTGGTGGTGTGCACCTGTAGTCGCAGCTACTCGAGAGGCTGAGGCAAGATAATTGTTTGAACCCGAGAGGTGGAGGTTGCAGTGAGCTGAGATCGTGTCACTGCACTCCAGCCTGGTTGACAGAGAGAGACTCCATCTTGGGGGAAAAAAAAAAAAAAGTCAAGCAATTAAGAATTATTTGAGAAAGTCTTTTTTTATGCTTAGAAAAACATTGTCATGGAGAAGTCATGCTAGAATCATACATAAATAGCATTCCATATTCTTTCATTCTTCTCACTTAAAAAAAAAAAGAGAAAAACATTCACCTATAGAATGTATATGTGTGGGTGTGGGTATTTGAGGGAGGTAGAAACCAGTGGAGAGTTGTCAATCTCTTTCTGATGTAAAGATATAAAAGAGCTGAGTGAGTAGACGCCCTGCAGTCCACTGAGACTGGTGAGAAGCCGTGTCCCTGGCAAGCTGGAAGCACATGTAGTTAAGGCTGGAACACAAATATCTGTGTAGACTGCCAGAGGCCCACCCCCACCAACCCTCTTATAGAGTCAGCTGAAGTTGCATAAAGAATCTATCTGCTGAGAATTTGCTTTGATAGAGTTTTCACTCTAGGAAAAAGTTTAGGGAAAGCTGAAACTATTTTCTACTGGGAGATGAAATTAATGTAGAATTAAGTTTAAGTAGGGTTTTAAAACAGTTCCAAGAAAGGCATGTGCTTAGCTGTGCCCAGATGTTTGCATTATTTAAAATCTGGACCTAAACCTTGTATAACTTTTCTAAAAATTATTGAAGATTAGTTAACATTTATGCTTTTTATTGTAGCAAAAAGAAATGTTTTTATAGTGTCAATGAAGTGACTCTAGTATAAAGTGTTCATATTATTGTAAAAGATAAGTAGAAACAGCTATAGTTGGAGGTAGGATCCAAGATGTTAGTAGATATTTATTAAATTACGCCACAGAACATTAGACACTGCTCTAATTTAAACACATGGCTTATCATAATAAAACGTAACACAATATATTAAAGTTTGTAGAAAGATATTGTATGTGAAAGAGGAGAAAATGGGGAAACTCAAACCAAAAGGGAGGCCAGGCA